TGTAGTTGAAGCAGTTTTAGGCACTTACAAATCCTTTTTTATATTGTTATTAAATTATTTCTCTAACATTTCCCTTATGTAGTAGACATTTCTCTAAAGCAATACTTCAGTTGAGTCAACAATCGCAAGACAAACTGTGGGGATACTGAAATATAACTGTGTAGGTAGATGAGCTGTTCCCTCATCTATAACTAGGCTAGGAAAGCCTAAATTGCCAGGGTTTAATCTGAAGACAGTCATAGAAGTTATCTTAAACAAATACGCCTTGGGGGACACACCTAAGTGGTAGCCTGTTAACGGAGAATAGGGAGCAAACATTTGAAAGTGCATTTCGTAGAGTGATGGATGGGCCTGGGTTGTTACTCCAGGAGAAGAGGAGTGGGGTGTTGCTGGGGAAGCTTCGCTTGTACAGCTTACATGGCTTAGGTAGGGGATTAGTTTGTAAAAGACTTTCCACATTAGAGAAGCTAGGTTTCCGTTTTCAGGTGATGAGAGTCGCTGCCGTTTTATTAGTAGAGCAGCTGTGTTAGCGGAGCAGGTCCAGAATGCACTGTTTACCTTCTCACACTGTTTGGTCTCTTGCTGGCATGTGCCATAATGAGCTTTGCTGAACCCAGTGTTTTGCAGGGTCAGTGATCACCTGCCCTTAGAGGAGAGCCTATGTTTGTTTAAAAGGTATCCCTGGTCTCTTCTTACTAGCTTTTCAGTTACCAGCCTCCCGCTTTGACATCAATGCTGCTCTTACAAAGTGCCTACTGTGGGATGCTGTGATGGGACAGTGCATAAACCTAAGAGTAGCAACAGCACAAAACACATAAACTCCGTTTCATCTTGTGAACTCTCATAGTGCAGGTTGCTTAAGTGGCTCCTAAAGTTACCCGAATTTCACAGTATCCATATCCATGAGCAAACTGTCAGTTCCAGAGTAAACGTGACTGCCTGTTCTCAAACCCAGTTCATTTCATCCACTATTCTATGGGCAATACCAGTATATCCCACAGCCTGAGGACTCAAGTTTTAAGATTCCCCTGGCCCCTATCTGGTGCCAGTTGTGAGCCTCAGGTTGTTTTACCTTGGTTGGCTTCTCACCGACTGGCTTGTAAATGAACATTCCCATAGCCCTGCCTTCCATTTAATTGGTATGTTTCAGTGGCTCACAAATTTCAGGGAAGCATAGTCACCTCTACTGTCCTTGTAAAAGGCATTACACAGGGTGTGCATGAAAGGATGCCTTGGTGAGGTTATGTGAGAAGTAAGGTGTGGAAGAAGCGTGTGCCCAGCCCACAGGCTTGCATCTCTTTCTAGGAATTCCAATATGTTCACTTCCAGTAGCTACCCTTTGGGGTTTAATGGACTGTTCATTTTTATAAGCGTTAATGCTGGAAATCTTAGTGGAGAAGAGGTTGCAATCTAATGCTATCACACCAAGTAGAAAAACCCACTTGAGGCTTGTTTAGGGTTTTCCTGGTCTATAGAGAATTTCTTCCTTTCAAGCAATGATTCTCAGCCTCCCTAATGCTGTGTCCCTTTACTGCTCCTAATGGTGTGGTGACCCCCACCCATAAATTATTTTCATTGCTACTTCATAACTGTAATTTTGCTACTGTTATGAATTATAATGTAAGTATTTGTATCTTGCAATGTTCTTAGGAGACCCCTATGATAGGGATCGGGACCCAAATGCAGCTTGAGAGCCACTGCTCTAGAGTATAAGGCAGAACCCCTTTGAGATGGAGCTCTTGTGACCTCTTACAGGACAAGGTTAGTGAAAGGATTATGGGCTGCTGTTGGGTTTTTAGTGTTGGGGTTGGAACTCAGGGTTGTGTCAGTAACAATATACTTGCTGTCGTGACTGCTTTGGATGAAAGAGACAGACTCCAAATCCCATTCACATGACTTAACATGCATCCAAGGACAAGACTGGTGTCAGCCGAGTCTCTCCATAGTGGTAGTCACATCAGGATTGCACTGTACTGCTTCACTCCCTGTAATTAAGTGCTTTTTATACTCCATAGCATATTATTACCAGTAATGGAAAAACGATCTTAAGTTGATGCCGTTAGATTCCAGTTCTGCTCAAAAGGGCAGATGATGAATTTGAAACCCAGAGATTTATATCACATAGTGCAGCTCTACCGTTATAAGTAACAGACCTGATTTGGGGCCTGTGCTCCAGGAGTGCACCTTGCCACCAAAAAGAGCCACCAAAAGCGTGGGGGTAACCATACTGTCCTCCAGGGGAAAAAAGGGACTGCAGAGTTTACTGTTTCTCCTTTCAGGCACACTGAATAATTTTCTCAAAAAGAAAGCTGGCATAGTTAAATGTGTACTATAAATGTGTGAAATTGAATGTCTGAATGTTAAACCAGGGAATATAATGCATATGCCGTATTTAAGATGTGATAAAACCCTCATGAGTAGGGCATAGTGGCTCATGCCTGCTATCCCAGGAATTGGGAGATAGAGACAGGCAGATAGAGACAGGCAGATCTCTGTGAATTTGAGGCCAGCTTACATAGTGAGTTCCAAGGTAGGCTGGAGCTATATAGTGAGGCTCTGTCTGTCAAAAACAAACAAACAAACAAAAAAGAACAAAAACCCCTCTTGCATGCCTGTAATACTGTGTAGTCTGTTATGTAAATGTGTTTTTGCTTATATGTTCTTTCAGCCCTTCTCCATTTTCATTCAAAGTTTCTAAAATAGCTTTCGTATAAAAACAGATTTTTTTTCTTTAAAATTGCTTTTTTTTTTTTTTTTTTTTAATGATAAAATTCCAAGGGAAAAATTTTAAAGTATGGCATTTTGAATCTCTTAACAAGTAATTTTGCTGGGTGCTTTTGCTAATGAATTGTATCAAGCTGCTCATTTTTATTCGCGTATAAGAATGCCTATGTCTCTTTGTCTTTCTAGTATCATTAAAGATACTTGCATTTCTTTCATACACAGGTTACTTTAAAGATTGATTCTATACAGCATTGATCCATTTTAATGCTGTGTGAACTTCTAAAATACTTTGTAAAATATGACTTCAAGACCGTGTTTGCACAATATTGTGAATATCTGAAACTGCTGCTTTTAAAATGTTTTATGTTATGTAAGTTTCAGCCCAATGAAGCCAGCATTTGTTTACATGTATGTACAATAAAGAAGTGCCTATGTGTGCATGTATGTGAGCCATCAGACCAGCAGAGATGCGCAGCACAGAGCTTACCCTGTGAGCCTTTAAGGGCTGCAGATTTTTGCGTCACAGTTTGAGAGTGTGCACTGAATGTATAATGTGTGCTGCTGGTTACTTTGGGCTCTGCTGAGTTTGGCCTTTCATGGGTTAAAATGGTTTACTGTGAAGCAGTGTTTTACTAGCCTGGAGGAGATGGTGTCCTGCTGATATTATGGTACAGCTGTGATGCACTATTAAATAGCAGTTCAGGAGACACACATTTGCGATCAGCTCAGTGAGGAAATGAAATTGACCTCTATCCTAAACATCCCTGAATTCTTTAAAAAAGAAAAAAAAGCAAGTAGCCAGCAGTGGTACATTGGTATGACTGATGGCCAGAAGACACAGAGAGAGACAGAGACAGAGACAGAGAGAACTGTGCTAATCATATACATAAAATAATGATTGCTGGTCAGAGCATGCAGCTCTGTGTGTCTCTAGCCTTGCCAGAGCCCCTTCATAGTATCTGTGAAGAAGGAACTGTTACCCCCACTTTTGTAGATGAGAAGACGACAGGCAGTCAGAATAACAAGTTTTTTATTTTCTGAAAATACTGATTTGTTAACACCACAGTAGCAAACAACTTTACGTTTGCACTCTTTACAGAACATTGGTTCACAGATAAATTCAAAACCCACAAAGAAGCTAAAGGCCTTTACATTTAATGTCTTTTCCCAAAAGTCCTTCCTGTATGCCATTCTTCCTTAGGCAATAAAATTTGATTATGCACCATTTAATGTGTCACATATACATAGCAAAATAATGAAGGCACAGCTGATATAAGCAAACTTAAACCCTTTCTATTCAGAGCTGGGGGTGGGGATACATACTTGGTTTGATTCTTCAAGTGTATATACTTTCTCCAAACTTTAGCTTCATTGAGGAATTCGGGTGGTTTTCATAGCTACTTGCTAAAAGCTACAAGACAAAAAGACTTCACAAAGGTCAAACTACACAACACTGGGTACACATGCTTTTACAGAATTGCTACATTCTACATCTCTTTAAGTGAATTATATTTCTAAAATGCTATAAGGGAAAACATTTGGGGTAACTTGTACGATTTTGTAAACACTATCAAGGAAACAGGTAACATAGTCCATAGCAAATGAGCATGTGTGACAATATAATACATGTAATACACCCTCTGTTTTGGAATCGTGTTCTTTCTGTCAATTCAAATATTCAAAACATTTTCCACAATTTTAAATGGCAGTTTCCCTAGCCTCATAAACAGTAGTGTCATGCCCTCAGCCCAGGCTTCCTCCATGCCACGACTCCTCCAGCTCCAGCGTGTAAAGCTGATGTCTGGGTTTGCAAAAGCAAAAGTCTTAAAGATGACGTCTTTCTTGAATTCCTTTCCCTCTTCGCTGGAACATGTAAAGAAATAAAGAATTAAGCATCGAGAAGAGTTCAGTCTTAGCTTGGGTGTTGAGGTGTAGTGTGATGAATGGATTCCAACGTGTGACACACTTCACATTTAACTGACCATAAATCCAGTTCTCACAGAAGAGCAGGGAGAAGAAAAAAGAATTAAGCTTAATTAGGCTTAAAAAAAAAAAAAAAAAAAAAAAAAAAAGTCTTTTGGCATCAGTTTTACACAAATAGAAGTCTGATTAAAAATGGGCCAGCCAAAATCTACGTGTTTCAATTTAAATTTAGGAATATCAGAATAGATACACATTGTATTTTGGGCAAAACCTGAGCCTTTTAAAGTCTGCCGCTGCGGACATCGGAAATAAAAGGGGGTGGGTGGGTTTATCACCGGTCAGCTGTGCTGCGTTCACTTATTGGCGGACTCAGGACCCCCCGTCGCGCAGGCTGTTGCCTCTTCTTCCTCCTCGTCTTCCTCTTCCTAGTCGTCATTTTTTCCTCCGGGGTTCACGGGCAGCCCTTCATCTCTCCAGTGAGCTCCTGGATCTTGGCAAGAAGGGGCTTGTAGATTTCGTTGTACTTTTTCTCCAGAGCCTGGAACTCCTTGTTAAAATTGGCCTCTATCTTATCGCAGTGTTTCTGTAGCTTTTTGAGTTCAAGAACTCGGCACTTAACAGGATTGGGCAGGCTCTCGATAAAGTCATTTTTGGGCTTGGGTGCGTTCTCAGCGGGAGCCTGTGGCTCTTCGGCGGTGGGCGCAGCCCCACCTTTGGCGGTCGCCGCATCCTCGCTACCCGGGGCTCCCTCCATTACCTCGACTTCGGCAAGGCTCTCAGCGGGTCCCTGCTTCTCAGGGTCGGCCATGGCTAGTGTTCGGCTTGGCTCGGCTGGTTTACCACAGTGGTCTGGTGATTATGCAGTCTTCGACTAAGCTGGTCCAGAGAGGTCCTTCTGCTGTGACTGCGGCTAGTCCAGAGTGAGTCTAAAGATGCAGCAAATGCGATGGCTGTGACTGTGGTGACGTCCGAGCTGCCACTTCGCGGCTCAGGGCAAATGAATGGCTATGTGTGATCAGCTGATGGTTGTGCACACATATTGCACCAAATTGTTGCTATGCTGCTTTCTCCGAGGTCTTCAAAACCACTTAGATACCCAGCCCTCAGCTTCCCCCCCCCCTTCCCTGCAAACTGGCTGGAACCAGTTTGAAGCTGAAACTGTATTTTTTCCATACCTGTTTTTACATCCCCAGACTGGTTACCATCCATGTACCTGCCCCACTTCCATCTCAGCCTGTTGAATCCGCAATGCACCTGGTAACCATTTTGTTCGGAAATACGCCATAGCTGATGTTGTCGATCTTGAGTGTGGGTACCTTCCTTCCAGAATCTTGATTGCGTCTTAAATGCACTACCAGAAAACAGAAATGCAGGAGAACCATTTTCCTCCCACTCCTTTGCAGAACTGCGTATCTGCGTGTTACCTGTTGCACAGGCCATCTTGGGCTCCTAGAGCCCTCTGCCAGCCATCTCGGTTAAACCTAGTTACATATATCCTAGTGGCAAATTGTCACAGAAGGTACTTTGGAATTACTTCTAAAAGTGCTTGTGTAGGAAATCTCAGCGCTGTAAGCTTCCTGGTAGCACCTATGAAAAGGAGTAAAGCAAGGTGAACCGAAGGAAATGAAACCCTTTCGTGTGTCCAACCTTGTAACCTTGTGAAAGACGCCATCATCTCCAAATGTGTAGGGCCCAATTCATCATTTTCCTGGGAGGCATGCAGCCTCAGGGTGGCAGATTAGACATGCCCAGGAAAGCCAGGGAGAAGAGATTCTTTTAATGCATCTTGAAAAGCTTGTGTATTGATGTTTAATAAGGATCAGGAGAAACAAATAGGCTGAATAGATGTTTATTCAGGGAGAAATAACTCACAACATAGATGAACACCAGCAGGTTCCTGGTCCCAAGGGTGCCTCCAAAAGTTCTGTCCCCGTGCTGCAAGCAAAAGAGCTCTCTGAGCCTCCTCCTCAGTTACCCCAGGTCATTTCTGGCCCTGTCTCCACCCCCCCATGGGCGTGGTCTATGCCACAGGCACGGACAAGGTATCTCACTACACGTGTGTTTGATCCTACTGGTCCTTCTGCACCGACAGATGCACATACAACCATTTGTCACCAAACACTTCACAGTTAACCATCTGCTCTTTGAATCTGTGTGTGATTTGCTTGTGAGAGCATTGGAAAAGAGTTTTCTGATAATTGGACATTTTAATTTCTTACCCATACAAGCCAGAATTAGAGAATTATTTTATTTATTTAGCCAGCCCAGGCTAGTTTTTAACCCTTGATCATGATGCCCTTAAATTCTGGGTTCTTCCTGCCTCCTCAGAGTTTCTTGAATAAAGGGTAGGGCATGAATAAGTTGTTTCCAGAGCATGCATTTGTTACTGATTTGGGTGTTTTTTCTTTCTCTGTGTTGGGTCTTGCCAGAGTTTTCTGCTTATGAATTCTGAAAGGAATTTCTATCTTTTGGTTCTTAGACATATTAAATTAATTATATGTAAATCATTTAGTGCTGGTAATGTTGGACCCTAATTCTGGGGTCCTGATGGGCCAGTGGGAGAGCCCCATGACACAAACACCAAAACCAGGAGATGCAACAAGCAAGAGGTGTTTATTGAACAAGTGCACTCGGGTGACAGCAATCTCGGGGAAAGCTGCACACCACCCAAAGAGTTCAGGTTCTTTTTATAGAGACAAACTGCAAATCAGCATACATGCATGGGGCACAAGATGATTGATTACAAAGTACAATCTCATGTTTGAGAGGTCACCCAGGTTTATCCTGTTTTTCTTTAGAGGAAAAACCATAGAATGACTTGGATAGTCCCCAGACTGTCCGTTGGCCAGGTATGACCCAGACAGGGCTGTTTATATGGGGCCATTTGTTCCATGGTTGGGGGCTATTTCCTTGTTGGCCAAGACCTGTGAGAACCTTTTTTCATACTCTGGCTTTCTCTTGGCTGTGCATTTAGAGCCTTCAGTTATTCCACAAAGGTTTGATGATTCAGTAACTAGCCCTATTTAACAAGATCAGCTTAGCATATAATCATCAGCCCCATCGCCATAGTAACCTTTCTTGTTCTCATAATTCCTGGTGTTTCCACTTATGTCAACGTCCATTCTTTGTGATTTTCTATATTCTGCTTGCAAGAACTATTTTCCTTCCCCTTTCCCACATCCTTGCTCTGCAAACTACAATCTTTCAGTACATAGTAAGCACTGAATAATTTTTATAAAATCATTGCATTAATGTGCAAGTGATAATTATGCATAATGTCTTTAAATCAAACATCCTCATGCCTCTTACCAAAGAAAGTAAATATTTACAAAGATGTATTTTAATGTGCTCCTGAGACCTTTAGTTTGTTTTCCTTTCCTCTCCCTTTTTCTTCTTCTTTTTTTTAATTATATTTATTTTATTTATGTGTTAATGGAGTAGTTACATTTTCAATGGTGTGAACTTGTGTCGGTACTACTGTAGTACCATATGTTTTCTGGAGATCTAACTGAGGTCTCTGGTTTAAGAGCAAAATGACTCATTTGCTGAGTCATCTTGCTGGGCCTTTTAAGTTTTTTAGGGGTTTTGTTTTGTTTTGTTTTTCTTTTCTTTTTCATTCTAAAGATTTGGGGAGTGCTTTCACAAACAAATGCATTCATGTAAGACCATGGAACTGCAGTACCCTAAAATACCCTTGGGGCCTTTCTACAATTCTGTACATGGCACATCGATCTATTTACTGTCTTAATAATTCTGTATTTTTTAACTGAATGAAATCACATGTAGCCCTTTGGAGTCTGTCATTTTCACAAGCAAATGTACTTGGTATTCATCTGGACTGTCATGCATATTACTAATTTGTTCCACTGTATTGTTGAGAAATATTTTCAACAGTATTATTCGCAGCTTTAAAAAATTGGAATATGCTGGGCAGTGATTGCACATACCTTAAATCCCAGCACTCAGGAAGCAGAGACATGCAGATCTCTGTGAGTTCAAGGTCAGTCTGGTCTACAGAATGAGTTTAAGGACAGTCTCCATAGCTACACAAAAGAACCCTGTCTTGAAAAAACAAACAAAAAACCAAGAATAATAATACCACTATAAATATTTGTCTGTAGATTTCTATATGAATACATCTATTTTCTGTAGATACCTACTAGTAGAAATGCTGTATTATTTGGTATATTTAACTTCATAAATAACTATCACACTCTGTGGACATGGCTGTGCTCGTTTGCTTTCATACAAGTAATGTATGAAAGTTGTAGTCATTATCTATGTTCTGCTTTGAGATAGAGTCTTAAGTATGTAGGTCAGACCTTGTGAGTGCCCTGGTACCCTTAATGATTCTGATTATTTACTGATGTGTGTGTTTACCATTCTTATATCTGTCTGTTGCTTATTTTCTCTTTTTTTTTTTTTAACTGAGTCTTGTCTTTTTTTTATGTATTCTGAATACAAGTTCTTTGTGAAATATGTATTTTATAAGCATTTTCTAGACTGACTTTTTGGTTCTTTTTATTTTGTTTTTTGAGAAAGGGTTTCTCCGTGTAATATTCCTGGCTATCCTGAAACTTTGTAGACCAGGCTGTCCTTGAACTCACTGAGATCCTCCTACCTCTTGCCTCTGGAGTGATGGGATTAAAGGCATGTGCCAACACCACCCAGCTGGCAAAATAGAAATCAGAAGTAGATGTTAAGTAAGTAGAAATAGACTCTAAATTTTGGGGCTGAGTTCATTTTGTTAAATTTTCTTTTTCTTTCTTTCTGTTTTTTTTTTTTTTTTTTTTTTTTTTTCAAGACAGAGTTTCTCTGTTGCTTTTTTTGGAGGCTGTCCTTGAACTCACTGAGTTCCTCCTGCCTCTGCCTCTGGAGTGATGGGATTAAAGGTAGGTGCCACCACCACCTGGCTAAATTTTCTTTTATGGATTGAGCTTTGAGCATAATGCCCAACAAGTTTTTTTCTAATTCCAAGGCCATTAAGCCTTAGTCCCTAAATTCTCCCCTAAGAATTTGATTGGTTAAGCTTCAATTTTAGGCTGTGGCACGTACTGAATTAACTTTTACGTAGGTATATGGCTATTTATTTATTGTGCATTCAATGTCCAGTTTTATGCATGGTGCTACTTAAATTTGCCATGTTGCCTTTGTGGACTGGTTGAAAATCTGTTGCATTTATAGGTGTGGCTCTGTTTCTGACTTTTTCTTCTATTGTGCTCATTTGCATGTTGGGTCATTCATCAGCACTGGACTTCACAGCCACAGCTTCATCCTTGAATTTAGATAATGAATGCTTTAACTGTGTTCTTTTTTTTGCTGTTTTTAGTTTCTGTGCCTTTTATATAAATTCCAGAATCAGGCTGGCATGCTTTTAACATGACCCTTAATATGGTTTAGATTAGGACTTCTAAAAGGTGTGGGCAGTACATATAGTACTTGTCTAGACATGTCTCATTTGGTGGGCTTTATCCATCCTGGTACATGATAGGGCTACAGTAACGCATAGTGAGTAATAGAATAGATGAGGTGATTCGTGATGAACTCTTGTCCACACAGGTCTTAGTAGGGTCTTTTCCTTTGGAGTTCTGTGAGGGGAAGAGCAGCACCAAGCCTCTCTTTGAGCTTGTGCTGGATGCCTTCTCTTCGGCATCCATGTACATATAGATTGGTCCCTTTTCTAAGGTTCCATTCTATGTATGCCTCACCCTAAAGACCATGATTTAACTTGGTTATTGTGATGGCTAATTTTGGGTGTCAACTTGACAGCATCTGGAATCCCTGAAAATCCAAGCAGCTGGGCACATCTG